CCCAGCAGTTGACTCGCTGACAGTAGCTATTAAAAAGAGGCGATTTGTTTGGCATTTGTTTATAAAAAAAAGTTCCTTGATAAAATGGTTAAAAGGCCTAAACTGTTACGACTAATATAAATCACAAAATGATAGTATTGTATGCATGAAAAGCATCATTAAAGCAAATTTCGAAGCTACGTGTTTACCAAAAGTTCATAGTTGGAGACTAGACAGATAGAATTGCATTTTATAAAAAAAGGCCAGATATGCCAAAAAGATTATTCCTAAGTAAGGCTACACCGAGTTGTATAGAAGTAGTCCGAACTCATCTTCGCAATTTCCTCGTCTTGTCAGGGGAATCTAGATGAATTTACCTTGTTCAAAGTACTTCGTCATAGTATCCATGATAGTCTTCAGCATCGACGGTGGATTTGATACATTCCCAGACGTTCTGCCAGCATCGGCAGTGGGCTTTGCCAAGATACAACCCGTCTAAAAAAGTGGAGCCCATCCCTTGACAAATTTTCTGTTGAACATTTGTACTATCTTTCTCTTATAGTACATTCCCCTATATGATAGCTTTGTATTTCACACTGACAAAGCAGACCACAATTCTGGTAAATCATCTGACGATGCCCAAAGCCAAAAATTATCATGACTACTATGGTATCGGTTTCTGTACAAAGTACAATCATCTAGATACTCTCCCAACAACACGACCAAGTTGTCGAAACAAATTCGAATCACTAGCACAAAGTGAAAAGAGAGCACGACCAAAATAGGAGCCATATCATCTTGATCCACATACTTGCGAAACAGCCAGTTACGTTTTTTTTCAATTTTCGCTAGATACCTTGTTTTCTTGGCACATTTTTGCTCGCTTATTATTCAATGAACTAAGACTGACATGGATTGAATTGTATCAATAAAAACAATAATTGTTGGCTTCGACAACCGCAATCAGACCTAGCTCAAACCAAACTGGTAATCGCTAGAATTTCTAAAATTACTTAGCGAAAAAGGGGTGCATTCATAACGAGAATGTCTCCAAGATTACCAGTATAACTTCAGTAAATCTAGTTGCCTAATATGGCGAATGACTAAAAGTGAATTTTCCCCGAATGATACGAATAGGTCTCAAAATGCCATTGAACTTCACTAAGCATTGCATACCAAAAGAAAATATAACCCAGGATGGACTGCAGTTACGATCTCACCTGGTTCTAGTCAGTGCCCCTAACAGGAATCGAATCCGGGTACTAAGGTGCTTATATTCGAGATTCTACCAATAAGCTAGTGCAAGTCTTTGAGCGCTTCCAGCTGCCTAGAGTGAGGTCTTATACAAAGCCTACTGATACTCTTAGAAACATACTCATAACGAATATGTGTGATGTTGCCGGTATAAAAAGAAAAGACACATTCGTTCATTGGCAATCCTACTATTAAGATGGAACACAGAAGGGCTTGGATTGGTTTAAAAGTCGCGTCAGTCATCTAAGAAAATAGCACCCGTGGCCGTGAGGCGTAGTGGTAATAAGTGGGAATTATACACTGCACTATCCAGGTTAGATTCCCGCTTGGCGTGCTGAGACCCAAGCGATAGCAAAATTGCAGTCCACCCTGGAGAAAACCTTTCGGAATCAAGGCTTAGTGAAATTGGGTGGCATCGTTGAATCTACTCATATAGTTGCGGAAAAGTTCATATCCAGTCCTTCATCAGTTTAAAGAAACTAGAATGGATAAAGTTCTTATTAAAATATGGTGTTTTATAATGGTGTCCTTAAGTAAATACCAGAATAATGAAAACTCCATGCATGTTAATATACACAATCGTGTACTCACCGGCGCTTCCGATGGAAGAATGCCAGCCAGGCTTATAAGACGACTAAGAGAATTTGAACGCCGACAGCAGTGTTGAGAAGTGGATTCACGCAAGCATCGATACTTTGATTTGTCTGGATCCTTTGAAGATTGCCAACTTCCCGTTTGCTGTTGTTGTTGGTTAGGATTTAGGGCATCATATTCCATGCTCGGAGCCTCGAGCAAGTGTTCTCCAGTTCCTGCTTTTTCTTTTCCTACCCCTGTCTGTAATTTAGATCGATGCCTAACGTTGATATTGGATTTCCAACCCAAATCTTGTTCGTGGGATGAGAAGAGAGTGACAACTTCAAGAGTGGGCTGACCAAGGCAATACTGTATATTAGGATTAGTCTGTGCTCGCTTATTAGAAGAGGTCACACTTTCGGTACCATCGCTGGCTGGATTAGGTTGAGAGTCAGTGATGTTGGACATTGATAGCCTTTTTCCAGAGCAGTAATGCAGACGCAGAAAACGAGACGAAAGGGAGGTTGAGCCAGAAGATTGGAGAGCTTCTTTTGGTTTGGAAGCAGTAAAAGGCTCGGGCGAGAGAGGAAAGGATAGGGATTGAAGTGGGTAAGAGCCATCGGTGCAAAACATACACTGCACGGTCCCGAACACTTGAATCTTCCGAACCCGTATCTAGAATAGATTTGTATAGAGTAGAGGTAGGGATCAAGTTGGTGTGTATTAAAAACTTTATAAGAGACAAACTATATTAATTAATTAAGGGTCAAGGAAATCAGAGAATAAACACATTTTGCGTTACTTATAAGGGCATAATAGAATCGAAGAACTCCTAGAGACGATTGCGATACCAGCAATGAGAAAGTAATACTTCATAAGCCAAATTAAGACAATATTAAACAGTTTATAAGGGAAAAATGATGTTAAACTAGCTGCCATAAAACTTCAAATACACACAAGTGTCTCAAGCACATAATAATGGTCGACCATGATAATGCGTGTGACATACCTTGTGTTTATTCCATGTTCTTATAAATTGACCAGTGATTAAAAACGGGAACATAAATAGAGCAAAAACCTAAAATAAAGAGTAAAAATTGGCTGGGAACATTCCCAAACGTTTCGCCGGCATCGTCAATGAGAGGCGCCATCTTAAGCCCAGACGATGCCAGAGAAACGTTTGGGAATGTATCCAGCCAATGGTACAAATGCCGGAAATCACGAATACTATGGCAGAGGACACTAGACTAGCTAGGTCCCACAAGGTCACCCAGACGCTCCGACTAAGTTGCGAAAAAAGGTCGAACCAACACTATAAAGCTAAAGGAGGCTGCGGCTAGACAGAAGGCCACACCATCTTGGTCTTCATATCTACAAAGCATTAAAATGTATATTTAAAAAAACAAATTGTGGGGAAATTTTGTTCTATTAACGGATAAGCATAAAAATTACTTGAATGCTAGAGCCTTAAGAAAACGCAATAAGCTCATGCATCTCCTATATCCAGTAGTGAGAAACAGTAAAGCCTCTCAATTCATAAGAAATATAAGTAGTACATTTAGTCGGAAATGATTCATTAATTTTTAAGCTAGAACTAGCGAAAAGTATTTCAAAAACCTAGGGATAAGTGGATTCGGCACAACTTTTCTTTGAAGATGTGAAAGTAAGTAGCATAATAAACACAACAAAAAGTAAGTTCATTTTCATGTCACCTTTGAACTCAAGTTAAGGCTTATCTTATAATGTTGAATGCATAGCAGATACTGAATCGATGAAATTAGTAATTTACACTCGACGATAGCTTGGCGTAATAAAGTAATTCCTAATAAAATAAAGAGGACTAAATAAGCTTCGCCCTTTAGGATTTTCCCCTAATTTTTAAAACGGAGATTTTCGAGAAAATTAATGATCAAAGCGTATTTTTCAGATAAATAATGATTGTCATTTCCTAGCCTATTAGCCTCTATTTTCGCATAAATAATTAATAATAGTCGTCAAAAGTGCGAATCTTTTAATCTATGGGGTATGGCTTATAAATAACAAAACAGGAATCTAACATTATGCATACATATGAGAGTAAAAAAAGGCAGTCTTTTAGGCTCAAGAAGATCTAAGTAATATATCACTGCAGAACAAAGGTTAAATTCAGAAGCTGAGTATAAACACAAACATATTAAGCACACATTATTGCAGCAATTCATCCATTACAAGAGCCAACTTCAACATAAAAGACAGCATGAGAGTATTGGCTAACCTCTATTGGGTTTGTGTTTATGAGAGTAAGCTGGCGCTTGGTTTGCTGACCAACAGCGATTGTTCCGAAGTCGACAACGCCGTTCGCAAGTCTGGCTGCATCAAAGTTAATCTATAAATAGGTAAAATAAATGAAAAATATGAAGACAAAGATGGTGTGGACTTTTGTGTGGTCGCACTCGCCTTTCGTTGTATAGAAGTTGTTTGACCCTATTTTCGCAACTTGGTTATATTGATAGGAATACTTAGAGGAGTGCACCTAGTCCGGAGTCCATTGTGTGCATAATCATTTCCAAAGTCTGACCGTGGATGTGATACATTCCCAGACGTGAGTCTTGCCATTCTTAGCACCACACTGCAACTTGTCAGAGACAAGTGAAGCCGATCCTTTGACCAAATGTGTGCTAAACAGTTGTGGTATCTCTGCTTCTGTCCTGGCTATTCACCTCTCCTATATCTCGTATTACGCCTTCATTATCAGCATTTTTTTCTTTTTTCCTTGCCTATTTAAATGTAGTGTGGCGTATCCTTTTGAGTGGCTTTCATGAGAAACCTCCACACTCCACGCTAATGTTATCAACCACTTTCATCCTTTTTCTGGGAAAGTTGATCAGAGTCTGCCATATTGTTACGAAGTCCTTTCCTAGGTCTTATCAGAGTATCCCTCTTGCCCTGTAGGATCCGTCTGCTATCTCTCTGGTTCAAGTA